GTATATCAACATGGAAAATGTTTTATATTTGGTAAATATATATATGCTCTCTATATATATGCTGTATATATATGCTGTGTATATATATATATATATATACACTGTATATATATATATATATATATATATATATATATATATATATATATATATATATATATATATATATATATATATATATATATTTATCATTTATAGACCTCAAAAACCACAACAGTCTGTTTCATCCGTATAGGAATCATCAGGTGGTCCAGTTCACCACCTGATGATTCCTATACGGATGAAACAGACTGTTGTGGTTTTTGAGGTAAAACGAAAAACTATATTACGCTCTATCTATATGGTATTGAGCACTGTTTGTGTTTCGTAAACCAAAATCTTAAGCTATATATACATAACCAAAATCTTAAGCTATATATATATATATATATATATATATATATATATATATATATATATATATATATATATATATATATATATATATATATATATATATATATATATATATATATATATATATATATATATATATATATATATATAGTTTACAGTCATAAAAGCAAATATTTAGTGTGTATTTTCACATAGCCATGGCATCAGGTCATGGCCAGCTAGTTTAGACTTAGTCCCGCAAATATTTTTTTTTAAATATTGGCGTGATCAATGGAAATTAACACGGCAGCTGTTTTTGTTCTTCGTCTTCAGGTCTCACGTGTCTCGACACAATTGATCAGTGGACTCGGTTGCGATTCCAAGTTACAAGTATTAAAACTATTTAAAAGCTTATGAAACTGGAAGTCTGGAACTAATAAAAAAGTAACTAAGTCTAAGGATTTCACGACTATTGCCAGTAGTTTAAGTCACTCGGCGAGGATGAGAGTGCATGAAAGTTGTTAGTCCGACGCGATATTGGTTAGCTTTCCCAACACGCACGGCATATGTATTATATTTAAGTTAGATCGCAGATTCGCAGTTGAAACACTCGTCAAACTTTTATTATGTACTATACTGCACAACTAGAAATGTCCCTGACTGCCAACTTTCATCAACTCTCATTCTCTTTGATCGGGTCTTCTGTATTATTTTACCTCCATTGTTCCACCAATTAAGTGGATTTAATGTTTGCCAGTTCCAAAACCAAGCTGTGGTTGTATCAAACATTGACAATATGCTGACAAGTGTCACAAACAACAACGATTTCATCTTTGATATTAAAGTGTTCTAAAATAATATCGAGAGACGTTATGAGTTAATTGCTCATGGATGATTCTGTAGAAGGCCAGAGGTAAAAGACAGAATGATGTTGATCAAGGTCTACAGATTGTCCAAATACGAAGAACAAACAAAAGCAATTAATTAAGCAATGTGATGTACTGCAGTAGAACAAACAACAGCAAATTAAGCAATGGATCGGATTTGCAAAATGGCGTCGATCGGACGTGCTTATAATTCCCATAGGAAAAATTATTGTCGCAACCTACATACAAAGAGAAATAAACCGCATTGTTTGGAAACTGATCCAGATTGTTCAGCAAATAGCCAAGAGAATTTTCGAAAGAATCGGTCTCTATGAGGGTGTCTCAAAAAAATGGAGACCCTAAACTGCTAAAGAAATCATCTTATTGTTATAATGTTTGAGCACTATGCTGAACCCACGGATGCGTAAAATATTGACAGGGCGCATATATTAAAAAAGGAAACCTTTAGAAATTAAAATATCCTTGTTAATTAAGGCTAGTTTCCACTCAGGATAATTATCCGTGGATTGGAACGGACAAGAAAAGTTTTCTTTGTCTTGTGAGCTCTGGGTTGGAACTAACGACTTTAACACAAAGAAAAATGTTCTTGTTCGTTTCAATCCACGGATAATTTTCCTGAGTGGAAACTAGCCTTTAAGCACAAAATTTTCAGTCTGTGATTCTGCTCCAGCTTCTAATACAGTAATACTGATAAAAGAGAATAACTATATAAAATGGTCAAATACAAATTAGCCTCAATTAGTCCGTACTATATTAATCGTACTATCGATTAAAAAAATGGTACAACTGACTACAGAGCAACGAGGTTTTACTGTTTTACGCGCTGCGTTAAATTAAACAGAACATAATCATATGTTGAACGAAACCAAAAACTTTTAAATAACTTCCCTTGCATAAAATTCGATTTAATTGTGTTTACGCACCAATGGGTTCAGTATACAAGGACAGTATCAGGGTTGGTAAGTTTTTGAATAAAAAAGCCAAATGTTATTATCATAACCTTCGTTTCCTTTGTTCAAAACAAAGACATCAAAGGGCCGTTTATAACAATGTTTGGCTTATTTATTCAGCAACCTACCAACCCTGGACAGTATAGGACTCAGACATTCAAATTTACTAATAATTAAGGTGAATTTCTAAAGGTTCACTCTTTTTAGACACCCTGCAGATCGGCGTCGACAGTGGGAGAACTACCTGGCCTTAGTAAACTACCTTAGTAAACTACTTAGAACTACCTGGCCTTAGTAACTTCTCTACACATGGAATCTTCGAAGAAGTAAAAACGGACAATGGCACTCCGTTTCATAGTGAGGCATTCGCGGTATTTGCGAAAGAGAAGCCGCGATTCACTGAAGTCCATTGCCAAGAACATTGGTAAAGTTGCCAAGACTGCTCATGTTTCTGAAAACGACTGGAAGAAATCGAAGAATAAATTGTATATCTTTTTATCAAATTATCGATCAACGCCACATCCTAGTACCAGAAAATCACCATACGAGCTTCTGATGAACAGATGTATGATGTATCAGACTGACTAAGACTATACCTGTAATTCTCCCTGATCAGTCTATGCCAGAAGTTATCATTAACGATCAAAAGGCTAAAGAAAAGATGAAGAAATACGCAGACAAAACTAGAAATACTGGTAATATAATAATATCATACAACGAAGAAGGAACAAGTTCAGCACACCTTTCGAACCGATACCATACATCGTAGAAGGAGCCAATGGAACAATGATCACGCCAACGACCGATCAAAGACGAATAACGAGAAACAGCTCCTACTACAACTCTACAAGAAAGTCAAAACAACAGATTATGTACATACGGAACCAACAGATGATCAAGTGCCTTGGAATTTTGAAGCAGACGTGGGAAATGGAAGCATTTCAGAAACAGAAATCAACACTTATCTACCAGAAACCGAGCAAATTGTTGAAGAGGAATCCAGTCAATCCACTGAGTCCCAACCAGTCTCGATCAGACGATCAACCACCAGCTAATTTGCATGTGGAGAAGTGGACGGTCTCGAAGAAAACCAGTGTGGACAAAAGACTACTAGTTATATTAGGATAAGTATCAGGGCCGTAGCAACCGGGGACGGGGGGCTGGGGGCTGCAGCCCCCCCCCCCTCAATAATTTGCTAATAATCATTTTTTTTTCAAAATCATGCAGACCTTTATCATTTATACTAATCCATGACAAACTGCAAAGAATGAAGATATTACCCATACTTTCCTGCAACTTATACAATATATAGTTAATTAAATACGCTTTCGCCCATTTCAGTACTACCAAATTGTAAATTTCAACATACTAAAACATACTGTTTTCTGACAATCAGAATTCTGTCAAATCTTCCCCAAAGTCCAGGAAATGGCATTTCAGAGACTCTAAATTTAAAAATTTCCCCGGGCCTTCGGCCCTCGCTATGAGCCCCAATCGAAAAGAGCTTCCGGCGGCACTGACTCCACTGAGTATACTAAGATGGAAAAACTTTATAGATATTGTTTATTAGAAATTTTATTTGACACCATTAGGGAAAAAAATTTTTTAAAAATTAGATTAATTATTTAACTTCTAGAAAGAGAGAAATGTAGGATTGAACAATTAGTTTAATGTATGCGCATAATAATGTAGGATTGAACAATTAGTTAATATATTCGCATATATAATGTTCTGTAAATATTAGCACTTGGAAAATATAGTTAGTTATTCTGTGTGTATTTGATTGAGTAAGGACACTATACTCATGGATAAGATCAAATGAAAGTGACAGAAAGAATTAATTAGAGCAGTTTGCAGTTATTTTTGCAAACCGGGCACCGTGCGAATTTTGCCATTTCACCCATTTGTCGTGCTTCTTTTGCCAAATTAAAAGAACGAACGCGTGCTCCAGCCCGATTTCTGGTTCTGAAAGGCCCGATTCGCAGACAAACTTTCCTCGCAAAGCAGGCTGGTCATTTCTCATTGTTTAACTGCCCCACAGGCCCCACACTCAAGTAACCACAAAGACTCACAGATGCTTGCTTCGCAACATCCGTGAGTCAATAATTCATCAGTTTTCCATTACGCACTTTTACTGCGCATATCTAATAACAAATTCTAGGTAATATATGTAGTCGAACTGCAATGTAAAGTGGCAAAGAAAGGGTAAGGGCAAAGAGAAAAACACTCTGCATTAATTAGACGTGCTTCAGGAAATATACCTTCAAAAATGCCAGAACTCTGGCTAGTGCTCCTGTGGCTGTGCAACTTGCATGCATGTTTAACCTTTGTATCTCTTTATTTGTACTTTTTTATTTTATATTTTTGTTTTTCTATACGTTTTACATGTCATATCGGAAAGGAAAGGAAAGAAAAGAAAAATCATATCTACAACTTATAATATTTTACATTTTTCGCGCATGGGAAAAGATATCTTTGCACCACGACAATGCACGTCAATGGTTTTTGATCAGGCGCTAAAATACCATGTTTTTGCATATAATCACCAGACTAAACATTTTTAGTAGGAACCTTGTTAAAAAAATTATGTGGGAAAATGTGGCATATTGCACTTTGTCGTATCTTCGAAACGAGTTCGGTGACCCCAACTTTTTTTCGCAGCGCCAAAGTCAAAACCCAAACCGCAAAACGGATATGCATACAATATTATGTAATTATAATAGACCGAAAACTCCGTAGTTACGCGGTTGCTACGTTTTACAAGCCGTTTTGGTATCGGCATTCCCGTTCAGTTCACCTTTCTCGGATTTTATTTGCTCGTCTAACCCAATCCAGTAGCAAACCTAGCAGAATTCATTGGATTTTAGACTTTTAATGTTAAAGAAGGTTGTTTGTGTAATGTGCTTAATTTGACTCCTCAGTTTGGAATTAAATTAATTTAATTACCATAAATGTGCTAACATAATAATAACGCTTCAGTCGCGCTTAGAGTCAACGTTTTGCGGACCTTGCGGTTTTCTCTGGACAACCGAATCAAGGCTGTATAAAACAGTAAAAACTCTTTGACTTTGTTCTGTAGTCAGTTGAACCATTTTTAATTAATCGAACTGACGTACCGCTAATTTCTAAGACTAATTAATCGTTTTAACTTTCAATTAGTATTTTCATGTACAATTTATGCAATTTTAATACGCTCATATACGATTACAATGCATTTTAAAACTCTCATTGATAATGAAGTTTGGGTGTTTACAACAAAAGGGTGATTTCTAAAGGGTCACTTTTTTAGACACCCTGTATAAATTAAAGGTTCACTATTTTGAGATACGCTGTATTGTATACACATCATGAATTAAAAGTCAACATTTATTTGTTACATAAAAGTTCCGCACAGTATTAATTAATAGCTTTTTCATTGTGTTTTTCTTTGCAATTAAAGCGAAATAATGGTTCTAAATTAATTTTTTAGGTCTGTGTTCTTGGCGAGCAGCTAATTAATCTTTATTCTTTTTGGTGAGATGAAGCGGTAATGCCGAATATAAACATCAATCAAGGACCACTGTTCCTGTGGCTCCGTTCCTACGGAGATTCGAAAGAGTACTTAACTATTGGAGTTCATGTAGAAACGATGGAACGCACGATCGAACAGGATAACCGCGTCCTGTGTGCAAAATGAATCGTAGTCTGTGTCTTTGTGACTATTTGGGGCTGAAACAATCTGAATGGCAATTACTCGTTGTTTACGAAGAACATGGAGGTGTGTTACAGCCAATATTTGGAGATTATTCCAGATGTTTAATCAGCTGTAACCTAATTTTAATAAAGCACTCGAGCATGTACTGTATAAGTCGTTGTAATTCAAAACTCTCGTCAGTTGCTTAACACTGTCCAGTTGACTGTTCAGTCTGTTCTTGCTTGGTAAATCTAAATTTTTCTTAAAGATGGTTTCAACAACATTCATTCTCCTAGTTCTCGTTGCTGTTGGCGCGAACGGCTGGTTGTTCCCCAAACCAGGTAATATTGAACTGAATTTGAATTGTGTTTGTCGTGCGCTCAATTCGAGAAAGACGGAAAACTGAAGAAACAACCCAATTTTTCAATTGAGAATAGTCTCTGGGGGCCCTAACTTGAGTCAGACTTTCCGCTTCACATGCCAGTCCGATGATTTTGTTATCTAGCACATGGTATACTGTAAAATCATAAATTCATATTCCCTGCACTGTACGTCCGTGGAGAAGGCCATTGTTCCGCTCTATCGGAATGGAACAATAGTTGTGCAATATTGTTAATCATGGAGGGCAAAATTTATTCGTAAGTTAAATTAATTGTGAACTTGTCAAGTTCTTGAACCTCGTATGTCTCCATGTCTTCGCCGATGTGCCTTAATGCTGCCCATTTCTTAAATACTCAGACCCATAAATTTGTACTTTTTCCAGTGTTCGAATTTCACTAGAAGTTTTTAATTCTTAGCAATAGAAACACCAGGCGGAAATCGAATTCTAGTTTTAAAAAAATATTATTGCCCAGCAAATAACTCGTAAAAGAGGTATATTAAAAAAAAAACATTTGGAATATAAAAAATATTTATTGAGTAACGTTTCGTACGTCACATTACAAGCGACATCATCAGACTAAATACAGTTAAGCTATTTCATCTATTTTATAACAAATTTTGAAAAAATATATGATATACAATTGCAAACGGTTAAAAAGTTAAAATTAGAAATATACAATGTTCATGGTATATTGACATGCACAAGATACTGAGATAAGTGAAAGATATAGATTAGAAAAGGAATGTCAAGTGATTAGCGTCAGTGTTAAAAGATATTAGTAAATTAACAAGATCTACAATCTTGGAAAAAAATTAGTAGACATCTTAAATTTTCAAACTTTGTCCCCCTCCCCCCTTATACAATGTTGGTATTTAGGTGACATGTTTTGCAAATCCACTTTACCTGAACCAACATTGTTTCGGGGGGAAGGAGAATGGTAATTTAAAGTAAATAGTTGCTTTAATTGAAAAATGGTCACATTTTCATCATATGTTTTCAAATTTGGGTGTATTTTTCGAAAAGTCTACAAATATTTTTTCCAAGATTGTCTGAAAAATACAACGGATAATCATTTTACCAAGTTAATTGTTCAGTCGTTTTCAAAACATAATTTTCAAATTAAAAAGGACTCTATATTAGGAACATAATTCAGGGTTTGATTAAAATTTTTGAAAGCCAGGGGGGTCGGTAGACGGGGGGCGGCTTAATGTAGGCGCCCATGTTTTAAGGAAAATTGTGATTAATTTATCCAATAAGGCTGCATTGACAAAAAATATGGCAGTTAATAACAAAAAACTATCAGAGGGACAGATATGGCATATATAGATTATTACATTGTACAATATTTCATGACCGTCACATTTTTTCACATATTTTGTATATCATTAAAATTTTATAGTGCGAAATTGTACCTATAAAGTATGTTTTAATACGGTTTCAATATGCTTTTATAACGCATGTACCCGTAATTGTCTCAAAATTAGTGCTTGTCTTAACGAATATCTTATTATTATTTAATAAATGTACAGTCTGAGTAAAATCACTACATGTTACACCATGTTACACCACATGTTACAGTACATGTTACACTAAAAGTTCTATGTTTTATTATATATCCTCACATGTTACAACATGTTACACCTACCTTTAAAAATATCTATAGTTCCTTTTAAAAATATAGGTGTAACATGCAGTAACATGTCAAAAACTATAGTAAAGTATAGTAATTTTAGTGTAACATGTAGTGTAACATGATGTAACATGATGTAACATGTGAAGATTGAGATTTGTTCTAATCTATAATCGTTGAAAATGTGCATAGAGAACTGAAAACCTTAAAAATAAATTAATCCTAACATAATTTAAGACACAACCAACCGATAAACGAGCTGAAATATCTCTTAGTTTATTTAATCCAAAAGAAGTCAAGAAATCAAGCAGTTATGTGTATTTTATGAAATTAAATTCGCTTATTTTCCGCAGCAAATACTAAGTAAAACATTTTTAAAAGGGTGTTAAACCAAGAGGATTCTAAGTTGAAGCTAATATTAAATTTACTATACATTCAAAAGTATAAAAACATTTATAATCGTGTCCAAATTCAACGAAATTGCAAGGATAACTCGAGCTGTGGGCGGTAATATACGCCTATTTCCTATAATCGTACCATGGGAAGTCTCCCCCCCCCGGAAAATTGTTTTGGGGGTCTGTTTCTACCGACATATGTGCCACTTGACTTTCATAACAACATAATAGAATAGAAAATTTTATATGTCCAAAAAATTTAATTTCTATCCCTTAAAGGTTAAGGGTTTGGCTTAATTCAGAGACAATCCTGGAAAAAAATTAGTAGACTTCTTAAATTTTCAAACTTTGTCCCCCTCCCCCCTTATACAATGTTGGTATTTAGGTGACATGTGTTGCAAATCCACTTTACCTGAACCAACATTGTTTCGGGGGGGGGGGGGGGGGTTAATTTAAAGTAAATAGTTGCTTTAATTGAAAAATGCTCACATTTTCATCATATGTTTTCAAATTTGGGTGTAGTTTTCGAAAAGTCTACAAATATTTTTTCCAAGATTGTCTGAAAAAATACAACGGATAATCATTTTACCAAGTTAATTGTTCAGTCGTTTTCAAAACATAATTTTCATATTAAAAAGGACTCTATATTAGGAACATAATTCAGGGTTTGATTAAACTTTTTGAAAGCCAGGGGGGTCGGTAGACGGGGGGCGGCTTAATGTAGGTGCCCATGTTTTAAGGAAAATTGTGATTAATTTATCCAATAAGGCTGCATTGACAAAAAATATGGCAGTTAATAACAAAAAACTATCAGAGGGACAGATATGGCATATATAGATTATTACATTGTACAATATTTCATGACCGTCACATTTTTTCACATATTTTGTCGATCATTAAAATTTTATAGTGCGGAATTGTACCTATAAAGTATGTTTTAATACGGTTTCAATATGCTTTTATAGCGCATGTACCCGTGATTATCTCAAAATTGGTGCTTGTCTTAACGAATATCTTATTATTATTTAATAAACGTACTGTCTGAGTAAAATCACTACATGTTACACCATGTTACACCACATGTTACAGTACATGTTACACTAAAAGTTCTATATTTTATTATATATCCTCACATGTTACAACATGTTACACCTACCTTTAAAAATATCTATAGTTCCTTTTAAAAATATAGGTGTAACATGTAGTAACATGTCAAGAACTATAGTAAAGTATAGTAATTTTAGTGTAACATGTAGTGTAACATGATGTAACATGATGTAACATGTGAAGATTGAGATTTGTTCAAACCTATAATCGTTGAAAATGTGCATAGAGAACTGAAAACCTTAAAAATAAATTAATCCTAACATAATTTAAGACACAACCAACCGATAAACGAGCAGAAATATCTCTTAGTTTATTTAATCGAAAAGAACTCAAGAAATCAAGCAGTTGTATGTATTTCATGAAATTAAATTCGCTTATTTTCCGGAGCAAATACTAAGTAAAACATTTTGAAAAGGGTGTTAAACCTACAGGATTCTAAGTTGAAGCTAATATTAAATTTACTATATATTCAAAAGTGCAAAAACATTTATAATCGTGTCCAAATTCAACAAAATTGCAAGGATAACCCGAGCTGTGGGCGGTAATATACGCTTATTTCCTATAATCCTACCATAGGAAGTCTCCCTCCCCTCCGGAAAATTGTTTTGGGGGTCTGTTTCTACTGACATATGTGCCACTTGACTTTCATAACAACATAATAGTATAGAAAATTTTATATGTCCAAAAAATTTAATTTCTATCCCTTAAAGGTTAAGGGATTGGCTTAATTCAGAGACAATCCTGGAGAAAAATTAGTAGACTTCTTAAATTTTCAAACTTTGTCCCCCTTCCCCCTTATACAATGTTGGTATTTAGGTGACATGTGTTGCAAATCCACTTTACCTGAACCAACATTGTTTCGGGGGGGGGAGGGGGTAATTTAAAGTAAATAGTTGCTTTAATTGAAAAATGCTCACATTTTCATCATATGTTTTCAAATTTGGGTGTAGTTTTCGAAAAGTCTACAAATATTTTTTCCAAGATTGTCTGAAAAAATACAACGGATAATCATTTTACCAAGTTAATTGTTCAGTCGTTTTCAAAACATAATTTTCAAATTAAAAAGGACTCTATATTAGGAACATAATTCAGGGTTTGATTAAACTTTTTGAAAGCCAGGGGGGTCGGTAGACGGGGGGCGGCTGTAGGTGCCCATGTTTTAAGGAAAATTGTGATTAATTTATCCAATAAGGCTGCATTGACAAAAAATATGGCAGTTAATAACAAAAAACTATCAGAGGGACAGATATGGCATATATAGATTATTACATTGTACAATATTTCATGACCGTCACATTTTTTCACATATTTTGTCGATCATTAAAATTTTATAGTGCGGAATTGTACCTATAAAGTATGTTTTAATAACGTTTCAATATGCTTCTATAACCCATGTACCCGTGATTGTCTCAAAATTAGTGCTTGTCTTAACGAATATCTTATTATTATTTAATAAATGTACTGTCTGAGTGAAATCACTACATGTTACACCATGTTACACCACATGTTACAGTACATGTTACACTAAAAGTTCTATGTTTTATTATATATCCTCACATGTTACAACATGTTACACCTACCTTTAAAAATATCTATAGTTCCTTTTAAAAATATAGGTGTAACATGTAGTAACATGTCAAAAGCTATAGTAAAGTATAGTAATTTTAGTGTAACATGTAGTGTAACATGATGTAACATGATGTAACATGTGAAGATTGAGATTTGTTCTAATCTATAATCGTTGAAAAGGTGCATAGAGAACTGAAAACCTTAAAAATAAATTAATCCTAACATAATTTAAGACACAACCAACCGATAAACGAGCAGAAATATCTCTTAGTTTATTTAATCCAAAAGAACTCAAGAAATCAAGCAGTTATGTGTATTTTATGAAATTAAATTCCTTATTTTCCGGAGCAAATACTAAGTAAAACATTTTGAAAAGGGTGTTAAACCTAGAGGATTCTAAGTTGAAGCTAATATTAAATTTACTATACATTCAAAAGTATAAAAACATTTATAATCGTGTCCAAATTCAACGAAATTGCAAGGATAACTCGAGCTGTGGGCGGTAATATACGCCTATTTCCTATAATCGTACCATGGGAAGTCTCCCTCCCCCCGGAAAATTGTTTTGGGAGTCTGTTTCTACTGACATATGTGCCACTTGACTTTCATAACAACATAATAGAATAGAAAATTTTATATGTCCAAAAAATTTAATTTCTATCCCTTAAAGGTTAAGGGTTTGGCTTAATTCAGAGACAATCCTGGAAAAAAATTAGTAGACTTCTTAAATTTTCAAACTTTGTCCCCCTCCCCCCTTATACAATGTTGGTATTTAGGTGACATGTGTTGTAAATCCACTTTACCTGAACCAACATTGTTTCGGGGGGAGGGGGGGGGAGGGGGTAATTTAAAGTAAATAGTTGCTTTAATTGAAAAATGCTCACATTTTCATCATATGTTTTCAAATTTGTGTGTAGTTTTCGAAAAGTCTACAAATATTTTTTTCAAGATTGTAGTTCCAGAAACGTTTAAAAGTTCACCTTTTTACGGTTCTTGTACTGTATGTCGCCATTAGGTCATCTTAATATCCAAAAACGACACGTTTTAATACAAATTTGAGCTGTTTCGAGCTGAGTCATGCTTCTTTAGGATTAAGGATATTTTAGGATTTTTTAGGATATTTGCGATATTTTTAGTCTTGATAAAAATTTGCGGGGTTAAAGGTCAAAATACCGGAAGTGCTCCGCAAAAAGTGCAAAATATAGTTTAAAATCACAGTTTTTGGTTGAATAATACTTGAATTGGAGATTCAAATTAAAATGCGAAGTCGTTTTACTTATGTTAGGCAATGTTAGGCATATAAAACGGACTTAGCCGCTGACTACAAAAGCGGGAGCAAAATGTCCCATATTTCTGGTAATGTTTGGATATTTTTGCACTTTTCATGCATTTAGTAGCCGTATCAGGGCCTTTTTTAATATACAAGCTCGGGGGGGGGGGGGAATGCCCTCCCAGTCCCCCCTGGAGCCCCACCCACCAAATAACATTCCTCTCCCCCCGAGGAAAAGTCCCTTTTTCCTAAATTTATACAAACAAACCAACGAAGATTAACAAATAGATAAACGGAAAGTAAGTTTTAGGCTTTATCCTTTGTCCTTGTTTAACAAAATCGATTTACATTGTTACGTTTTTCTACCACTAAGTAATGATAAATTATTGTTAATAATTTTTTTATTTTTTTGGATGCTCAGAATGCAGGAAATAGCATTTCCGGGTTTCAAATTTCAAAAACTTTCTGGGGATTATCCCTCTAATAAGTAATGATAAATTACGGTTAATATTCTTTTTTACTTTTTGTGCATTTTTCCTTCTTTTATTTCAAATACAAGTATAGTTAACATAAATTTTAGAGCAAATTTGGATGCTCAGAATGCAGGAAATGGCGCTTCAAATTTCAAATATTTTCTGGGGGAGTACACCCCCACACACGTGACCATTGCTATCCTCCTCTAATAAGTAATGACAAATGATGGTTAATTTTTTTACTTTTTGTGCGTTTTTTCCTTTATTTATTTCAAATACACTCATAGTTACCATAAATTTTAGAGCAAATTTGATGCTCAGAATGCAGGAAATCACATTTTCGGGATTCAAATTTCAAAACGTTTCTGGGGGAGTACATCCTCAGATCCCCCCATTCATGCGTAGTATATTGGCCACACACGTGGCCTTCAGCCATTGCTATCCCCCTCTAATATATTATCTCACAGAAAGGTCCCTTTTCAAAAAATGCCCTCCCCCCACGGGAAAATTCTTAAAAAAGGCCCTGAGCCGTATAGTAGTGTATTAGAATTGATGTTACTCAGTGTACTGTAGATTAGTGTCAAAATTAAAGTGTGTCTAATCTCTGAAAAGTTTTCATGTAGCCTGGATATCGTAAACAATAAAGCCATTGCGCTATGGGAAAGTATATCTTCTAGTTGCATGCATGTGTTGAAAAGACGAGAATTAGTACATGCAGAACACTGTAGGAAATACCTGCTTAAATTTGGTAAAAACATCCAATAACACAGTCCGTGATATAGCCAACATTAGCTAATATATGCAACATGTAAAGGCTTCACGCGTTTGATATATTTGTTGTTTTGTTTTTCTAAATACGTATACTGTTGTTCTTCAACAAAATAATCTATCAAATTTGTTTTCAAGGTTTCTTGAATAACATTTACAGTGTAGCAACTACATGCTGTTCCAGCAACGAACGTCTTTAATAAATTAATCGTGCTACCGCAAATTGAATGATAATTAATTATATTTCTATGGCGCATTACCCTTTTAATTGAAAAAGCTAACCATAGGAAAACCAATTAGGTATAATTCAAGAGGAAGGATCTCAATGTTTTTAACATTTTTAAAAATTTGTAATATTAAAACATTGCCAGTTCGCAGATCTTGAATTATGCTTAGTTGATTTTCCCATATAGTTAATTTTTTCATTCCAATCTCAACCCTTTTTGGGTTGTAATTAAGTGAAAGTGAAAACGCTGTGACTAGCCTGTGAGGACGATACAACCCAGTCAACCTAGTCATATTTGGACGAACTTGTTTGGCTGTTTAAAGGTGTAGTACAAATGCTCTCTTCTCGCTGTTTACCGTGCGTATTGCGCGTTGTGCCTATACCGAGAATTCATATCACCTGACCAATGTGTTACTAGACTTGCTCCAAGTCTCTCTTTCATTGTCATATAGTATCGATCCACGATAGTGTACATTACATGACATAGTACGGAGGGCCGGAGCGAGAAAGAGAGATTTGTCAACTTCGGAAAATCTCGGTTCAAAACTGAACCGAAAATGCAAGACTTGTTCTAATTGTTTTCTGTCAGTGTTTATATGTATATATTGATCTATGTAAATGAGTTCTATTATAGTAAATAATGCAGAAAAAAATTGATGGAAAACAATTAAAGCAAGTGTTTCGGTTCAGTGTTTAACCGAGATTTTCCGAAATCGACTTGTCTCTCTTTCTCGCTCCGCCTCTCTGGGCTACGTCATGTAATGTACACTATAGTGGATCGATATGACAATGAAAGTGAGACTTGGAGTAAGTCTAACGTGTCACAAGCACTATCTGCTTGTCTATTCTTCTCTCATTGGTCCGCTTTTTGTCAAGGGAGAAAAACTCGTACCACAAGCACAGAGTATTATTATTGTGTGACCAAAACACGTGACAAAACGTAAACATAGATCTGATTCAGTGTCGCATGCATATGCCTGATAAAATTCATTGTTTACATATTTTTTATATTTATACGGACTTTACGCAATACGGCTTGTGCACGACTTTTACTTTGTTATGTAACTAGCCGTAATATTACTATAAGTGAAGTTACTATATCAGTTCTGCTCATAACAAATGGACCCACATCTCCTAGTGATCTGCGCGAGTTGTTTTGTTTCTCCGGGGCATCGCACGATGTATATACTCGCTCCTCTGTTACTGATCTCAAAATACCATCTGTCAAATCTAATCTTTCCAAGACCAAACTCTCATACAGTGGTGTTTTACTTTTCAATTCTTTACCAAATGACCTGAAAGTGTTTAACGATTACTCCCCGTCTGCGTATAAGCATAAAGTTAAGAGGTTTTCCTCTAATCTTAATCATTAGGTTGATCATCTTGAACAATTTTCGTGTCTTTCTTGTAAAAACCTAGTTAAGTGTATTTGTTACTCGCACTAAATTTTCTTTTAATTTTTAATAACTTATATTGTCAAAAATAAAAAAAAAACGTGCATGCTTAATAATACAGTTATTTTCGTATTTGGTACTATAAGTTGTATAGTCCCATATGTCTGTGTCAAATGCAACTATAGACTTGAATTGCTTCTTTGTATATATTGTAAATACTGTAGGTTATCTAATTTTTAGAGGACCATTTGGTAGAATACCTTCTCAGGTAAAAATGTTAATTTACCCTCATCAAATAATTAACAATTATTCGCCGAAGGCGAGGTGAATATCGCTGAATAAAAACCGAGACGAAGTCGAGGTTTTTATTCAGCGATATCCACCGAGCTTGAGGCGAATAATGTTGTTTTAGTATAATTACAAAGGTGATTATTCGAAAAAAATAATATAACACATTTCAATCTTTTTCCGTACGGCGGTGACTATAGGTTTCTATATCCAGAGCCGCTCATATCGCCATCAAGAATGCTTTTTTGTAGTAATTTCCATCACTTTTTCTTATAGAAACGTAGAATTTTGATAAACATTTGTTTATTCCGTCAATATTCAGGTCTTCAAACTCATTTGTGAATTGTGACTGTAGTTGAAACCAATCTGTTGTAGAAAATACTTTTTTACAAACGTAAACAAATGTCTAAACTATATATTGTATGGCAACTTGAATAAAACGGTGTTTTATGCGAAATAAAGTTAAGCAGATTTCTGCAACGTATTTCCCATCTCGAAATACTTTTAAGCCAAATTTTTTCACTTCTTTCGTGCTTTTAGGTACAGTATTTTCTTTAAAATTAGTAACTTATTTCTTCATCTGTCACTTCGACAAAACCACTCGCCGCCATTTTGAAAAAAAAACGCTTAGGTGATTATCGCGTAATAATCCGAGGTCGCTTGACCAATCAGCGGCCACAATTTTCGATAATCACCATTGTAATTATACTAAAGTTTATTATTATTATTATTATATAAACATTGCCCAAATTTTGCATCTTTCGAACTTTTTGAATTGAAACGTACTCTATAGTTTATATTCATATACAATTGCGAACCAGAAAAGGTGTTAGATATTCAGTTAGTATGTCTTATTTTACAAATATAGCAGTTCAAAATGTAAACAAATCCTTTGCTCACATTACGGACATGGTCTTGATAAATAAACTATAAACTGCCAATTTAAGGAGGCTCTCTACAGTTGCGAGCGGGATGTTCGCGGGACCAGTACGTGAACTATCCCACGCAACCGCATGATCAGAACAAAACAAAAATTGACCACGCTTTTTTTAAAAATAAAGCTATTTCTGAAAGGTTTCTAATGGAAAAAGGCGTTGAATAATACTTCGTTTACAATGCCAAATCACTTGCGATTCTATACAGCAATTCTAGATATGATACGAATATCACTAGACCAAAAAATAGCTACGAAACAATGTTTTTTAAATTTTTTAAAATATACACTGTCAACTGTAAAACATTTGCAAAATTGCATACAAACGTTTAAAAAGTTGTTTACTTCTCAGGAAAACGTTCACGTTTTTAGTCGTGTTTTTACAAGATTAAAAAGTGATTATATGTAAACAGAAAAATATTTCAGTTTCATAGCCTAATTGTTCATTTTTAGCAAAAAGTACAAAACCAAACATGAAAAAAAAAAACGTCCACCTGTTAATAGGCTGTTACAGCTCATAGATTGATTAAACGGCAGGATTCAATTAGCTTCAACCTTGTTTTCACCGATTTAATCCTTCGCAATAATCCTTGGCTGTCCATGGCTGTCAAATAAATCGAAAAGTTGACAAAAACAAAACAGGAAAAACAACATTGCCGCTCGATTTTGCTGAATGAGAACTCGTTCTGCGCCCGCGTACAATCTTTTACCAGTCAGCGACGCTTTTCAGTAGGGGAATTTCTCGAGTTACACGAGGCTACTTTCTAACTTTATTTGCATTTTACTCATTAGTTTCATCGGTGACCTATCTTCAAATTTTGACGACGAATTTATTTTGGGGTAAATTTTATAAATTTCAAATTAAAAAAATCTTTAGTGTGGAAATTTCGCAATAAAATTTTCGCTTTTAAAAAAATCACACACTACAGATTTTTTTTAAACTTTCACCACAGTTGCAGAGCATCATTCCCTATTGATATATGAAATAAAAAAGGTCGCCGACATCGTTTTTGAGATGCGGCACATTTATGGGTTAAATTGGAAGGCTTTATGCTGTCGTCATGTTGCCATGGGAACATTGACGTTGTCGAAATCTAGTACGAAATATTCCTTAGGTGACCAATATTGTCACCAAGTCGAAACGAATTCGCGTTCTGCACGAATAAGCCTGTTTTGCGGAATTATTGCTTAAACAAGAATAACTGTAGGGAGCCATCTTAAACATCAATTTAAAATAATTATAATTTAATATACTCACGGTATAAACGTGCATGAAATAAAAATAGCACACGTTAATTGAAAAGCCGTTTTATACTGGCACAGTACTTGATACAGTAGTGCAAGTAGTATAAAGTCCCTGAGACTGTTATACACTTCTAAATACAGAGATAGACTGAGTATAGTGGTATAGTGAGTAGTGTAGAATTGTTCTTAGTCCGTGTATGACGGAAACGTGCGTATAGTCGCTGGAGTCCATATGTTCGAACTATAACTATTTTCGGAAATATTTTTTATGAAATACTACAATAATATATTGATTTACCTATATATATTCATAAAGTGCAGCGAGCTTGCATGTGAAGCATTGTTTAATAAACGAGCAGGAGTGTTTTATTAAGTTTAAAGCCACGAGCGCGCAGCGCGAGTGGCTTTAGACCTAATAAAACACGACCTGCGAGTTTATTAAACGGCTTCAAACACGACTACAAATTCAATAGATATACTGCCTTATTAAAGTTCTTTATATAAAAAATATTAATGAGGACACCACTACAATAGATACTGCCTTATTAGTATTCTTTATATAAAGAATACTAATTAGAAGTGTTTTAACGAGTTTAAAGCCACTGCACGTGACATATTATGGTTGGCATGATTTGCCATGCAATAAGCTTATGAATTATTAATGAGTGTTTGAAAACTTTTGAAAGAACTATTGTGAGCAGTGCCAGTGAAATATATTCAAATTTGTGAGTTCTACGATGCAGTATTTACAATTTATAGTTCTATAAAAAAATATTGAGAATATATAGTCATAGAGTAATTTTGCAGCTCAAAAAGAAATTATTACTTGGAGAACTGATTACTTGCCTACAATTTGCATCGAAAAGACGAAAAGCAACAAGCCAGCAACGTAATACTGATATATATATATATATATATATATATATATATATATATATATATATATATATATATATATATATATATATATATATATATATATATATATATATATATATATATATATATGGCCATCGCCATAGCGTAGTTCCATGCATGTAAACAGTGACAAGTCATGACTAAAATTAAATACAGTAATTAGCTTCGGCTTATTTCCGTGATCTGTCGGCCGTCGCCCTATTGGTCGACACGAAATCGTAACTGCACGTAAAAGTGGACAGGACAGGACAATTGGACAGGACAGATTTTAAGTATATGATAGTTGCAAGCCTTTATTAAAACTCGTCCAATCAAAAGAAAGATTCAGGAAGCCATTAACTGCAGTGCTTACTTTTCAAGTCTATTTTTACCGTTTGACATTCGTTTATTTGTTCAAATTGTTTTTGGCCTAATGCTGATTGGCTAATGCGCCGTTTGTTAATTTTTTCAATTTTTGTTCTGCAATGTGATTGGTTAGTGTTCTCTAAGTGGCCCCGCTTACTGTAGACGCACTGTAATGCGCCTTAAACCACCATTCAAAAAGATTTTGAATTTTACACAATTGTACTCAGCTCCCCCCTCGAGAAAATTTAACTAATTTTATAATGTGATTATGCTTGTAACGGATAATTATGCTGTCAGGAAATTTCTGCAAACAATATTCGAAGTGTCTATACAGCCGGCTATTTAGTAAACTGTCACTTGTCAATCCGTACTCATCGAATTTTATTGTAATCATATGAAGCAAAAGTTTTGTCACTTGTTGTTTACACTTGCCAACGTTAACTGTCGAGTAACATACACAAACTAATCGAGGAAAAGATTCAATCATATATTGAAGACCACTGAATAGTAGTCTAGTAGATGTTTTGAAGGGCATGACTCATGAGTGAAGTATTTAATTCAATTCCAATCCTGTGCACAGTTAATGATATACCACACTGTTCGGTTTAACTCAGCATATCCACCCAAAACAATTTGTGCTGTGGGAGAATATCTGTTTGAGTGGAAAGTATCACAAGTTTAAATTTGTACATTGTGTGCCATTGATCTGATCCATCCATATAATATATGATTATTGTAGCTGTTAAGTTATATTCCATACTAATGAATTTAGGTAAGATTGTCTTGCAAGTGGGTTGTTCTGACAAAATTATCCAGCCAATATCAAGTACATCAATACATGTATTCATCATTCTTGTATTAATCTATAAACAAAAACATTTATATTAGAAAGCAAAATGACAATGTAATGAGGAGGGAGGGTGGGGACTCTTTTATTAGCATTTGAAAATGGTTGTAACAATTTTGTTTAATTAACTCTAATGTGCAAGACCAAAATGTATATAAAGTATAATTTTAACTGATGACATATTTTCCTAATTGCTCTAACACTACATTTGGTGACAACTTAGTTTGACTGTTCATTTGAACAGAGTTACAGAAATACAGGAAGAGGATTTAACTCAATATCTCCTGATTAAGATATTTAGTTCGTTTGAGCTTCAGTAGCTTT